CACTGTTGACAGGGTAGGTTAAGATTAAGATCAAACTGCTTTTCAAGACATAAAATTAGTTTCAGTTTTCGTAAATCCAAGGTTTTGATAAACTCTATTATGCACACTTTTCTGTAGCACTACTAAGTCTGACTTAATATCAACCCTATGACCCGTCTCAAACACATGTTCTGCGAAGTAAGATATTTGTCATTTGATACCGTAGCCATTAAGGTATGTGTTCATCCACCCTTAACCGTAAATCACGATTGCTTTCCCTCATATATGTGCAGAAACACATGCATGGGAGACATATACACACAACGGAGTGCAACACAACTGTTAACATCCTGTTTAATTTTTTGGTGAAACACTGAATGTGACTCTTCGATAATGATGAGTTGGGCAGCGTAAAATATCTAGCATCCAAAGCCTTTCATCCGAAACAAATCGTCTTAGAATAAAATATACACTAAGTTGATACAAAGTAGATAATTTTCTAATTTGATGTGATCATCATCAAATAAGTTCTTCATCATATTGAATTCACATACTCTTGTGTAGGTTACACTACACTACTTACTTATCAACAAGTAGTAGGATTTGTATCTCAGTTAATTTCAAATTTGCACATAAAATAGATGTTAACTAAATAACTTAATGAAATTTGTTTACAGTGTATGAAATATATCTCTTAAGCATGTTTCCGTAACATGCACTATGTTACACATTATTTGAGGTCATATACCAATTCCTTACAGGTTGTTCAACATAGCAATTAATAGTTTTCCACTTACGCTTCATTTTATTTATTTTGATGATTAATTTAATCTTAGCTTAGTCACATAAAAAACACTTGAAAATAACATGATTGAACATTTGGATCTTTAAACAGCCTTTATTATTATTCTTTCTATTGACGGAAAACTTTATTATTTGGCTCCATAATACGTTTCACATATACTATCTACAGGCATTACTGAGATGATTGTATAAATTATAAGATATTTTATTTTTGACATTTACTTATCAACAAAAGCAAACGTTTAATGGAATAACCTAAGTTCAGCATCCTAGAGTCACATGTTTTGCAACGGAAAATGATTAGATTTCCAAAAAAATCTGTGCTTCTGCGTTACATATACAATAACTGAAAAAAACATGTTTTGAATAGTAAGAAACCATAAAAATCAGTAGACTTATAATTTGTATGTAGTAATAGTTAATCCACACTCACTGATCTATAATATGATCAGGTTACTAGTTCTTACTGAAACTAAAAAAGTTCTAGATCCTCAAAGAATGGACAGATATACAAAACTGTCATACAATCATTCTTATTTTAATTTTAATAGTTGAGATCATGAGTCAATTGAAGCTAGACTACCATGGAAAACCTGGAAGCATTGGAAGGCCATTTCGTCAAAATTTGGGACTCCTCACAATAATATCCACAAAAAACCACTTTTGATATTATTCAGCATCTACACACTAGTGATGGTCTCAAAGAAATATTTCCTGGAGTTGTGAGCTAGTAACTCACTGATGACAATAGTGAATGTGCCGCTCAATTTCGTGGATTAGTTGAAGTTAAACATTTACACTTTTGGATACCGGCCGGCTCAGTGGTTGGTTGAGTGGTTAAGCGTACACGAGCGAGACTAATAGGTCCTGGGTTTGGACCTAGTGAGGCGGGATCATGGACGCGTACTTCTGAGGCGTCCAACAATAGAACGAAACGGTTGTCTAGTGTTTTCAGGTTTTCCATGGTGGTTAAGCTTCAATCGACTCATGATCTCAACAAAACGTCCTTCTGATATTCTTGTTTTACTCAATAAAATTACATAACTTTATCAAAGATATAGACCCGCATTAAAAATAGTTAAAATTGACATACACTATGACTGATCAATATCAAATGGCATCTGAAGGTTACTGGATACTTAACAAATTCATTAACCATGAAATAATGAAAATACAAAACAAAATAAACTTCCTTCCCTTGTGGGGGTGTGAAACGAACTAACGTAATAAGAATGATATTATTTATTTATTTAAACACATAAATATTGGTACAAGGAGTACCAGATACATATGCGCCACACAATAATAATGAGAATGTGAAGAGATAAAGTATGTAAGGTGCGTATGAGAAAAAGTTGAACTATAACGAGCAGAAATTAGTGTGTGATAGTAAAATAATGATTATTAGAGAAGCAGTTCAGTTAGCAAAAGTACAGCCAGAGAGATTTCTTCCAGTTAAAGAAGTTATGTCCACTTTTTATAAAGAAGTAGAATAAAGTTACAGCAAGATCGCCACTGGCTTCTATTCTGAGCCATATCTGATAATGTCTCTAGCCACTGTGTAGCACCATCTCTCGGACCCCAGCCAGGGATTGGTGAAGGATCAACAGAAGCCAATCCTGTACGGCTTTCTTTCATACCATGAAACCGTGTCATACACAGACCATCTCTTTGCTTTTTCTAACTAGTTCCAGCGTCGGCAAATAATGCACGACGAGGGATTCTCTAAGTAGACATTCGTAGGACATGTCCAAGCCACCGAAGTGATGTATCAAGATAAGAATGTTTCTCATGAGTTATTCCTAAAATAGCAAATTAAGTGACATTTCAAAAATACTATGAAATAAATCATGGTGAAATACTAACTTTATGTTGCTTTTTGATCATAGGTTTACTTGTCTGAAGCTTGACCGTCTTATTTCCTGTCTTATTGATCCAGATATCCATAGTGAAAACCTAAATGAGATGGAGAGCTAAATGTATCTACTAACGTGTTGTTCATTAGTGATATTATGAATCATTTAACACAGTCTTGACAGATTCTGTGAGATTTATGTATAGAACGTTATTTTGCTGAATTATTGATTTTATTCAACGTTATCTATAGTCCATGTAACTAGAATGTCGTAAATCATGTCACTATTGCTTATAATGGTTTTATAAACCGAATAATTTAAAAATGATGTGTTTTTTGCCATAAATAATTGGCTAATATAATCTTTGATCAGAAAGAGTACATGAATATGACGATAAGAAGCAATCACGTTTCTTGGTACATAGCATAAAGCTTTTTAACTCAAGATAGCGTCTGATTCTTCTGAAAATTAAATATAAATCTGTAAACAATCTGGTTAGTTCTACCAGTAACCATATGTTTGTTTCGAAGATCAAGCCAAGTGCTACAAAGATGTTGAATTCACTGATCAGTATAGTTATCGATCATTTATTCATGATAAATACTTCAAACCCATAATCCATCTACAATCGCTAACATATAAATATTGTCTTAAACTGATAGTTAGAATAAGTGTTTTTTGTGGATTGATGAAGGTACTTTCTCTTACGATGTGATATCTACTGTAGAAAACCATTGAACATCAAGAAGATTACGTCAGCTATTACTCACTACCTAAAGCTACTTCATATTGAATAACCCTTCGTAGCATATATCAATATCTTCATTAGCAGTCTTAAATCTCTCAAACACATGTGATTTAAAAAAAACTCATTTATATAGTTGAAATTCATTTTAAACATCTAATCACCCGATTATCATCTAACATATAAAAAGCATTTTCCTACATCCATACATCAATAAAATTACTTCCTCATAGTTAGTTAGCAATTCAACTTTTCAATTTGATTTATAGTATTTAAAATAATTGGATGGTTTTAATACTTAATTATACATTACACAATTATACCATACAATTTTATCTGACGAAATAAAACTCTACTATTTCAACTTTAATGTAAACTTAAATATAAAAACTCCCAAAAAAACAAACTAACTAAACATACTCCTTATTAAGAAACTCATGAATGATGGACTGTTCATCATCATTAAAAAAACATTTAAATAATTCATTCAAACAAAAAAGAAACGTAGTTCAAAGGTAAAAACATGTAGGATTAAAACAAAAATGTATCAACGAAATTTTTTTCTCTCCTAAACTTGTATATTTTATAGAATAAGGTATTGAATGTAATATGACAAAGTTTAAACAATCCGATGACTTTTGATGTATCTCGTTTATTGCATTACTAGACAGACTTGTCTAAATGTATTATAATATTAATAATACTATTGGAGATTTTGTGATAAAAATAGTGTCAAAAGTCATTAATCTTAGTGTAAGTTTTCCCTCAGATCTCTTGTATTTTCATGCTTCGTTGTTTACAAAGAAAGTTTTCCGTCTGACTTATTATATATAGAAGCTACATGATTTTAGAATGAATCGATATTTATTATTAGGATTTGAAAGTTGTTGCATATTATCTATTATATTTTTCTGTGTTTTTGCGAAAAGATTCTGTGGTATTGAGGCGAGTGCAATAATTTTGTTTACTACCTAATTACTAACCACATTTCTTTCTGAAATCAGGTAGGTATGACATAACACACCGCATCACGATTAAAAGTAAAACAATCTACATTTTAATTTCAGTTCTTTTTAATATAATTAAACATATAGCATACGATGCCTATTTTACTACATGTGAGTAATGATTTATGTAATAGTGTGATTGTCCTCATTATCTTACCTTTTTATTCATTTTCCTCACTTAAAATGGAGACGTTGGTAACATGATTTATTACGCAAACATCTTATATATATATATATATATATATATATATATATATATATATATATATATAATTCACAAACACATATATACCTGATTTGCTTGGTCTTCATTCATCCTCAGCAAATATTGAGTCCATTTCAATTTGCTTTTAAATAACATATTGCTTGTGATCAATCTAAACATGTAAACCAATCAACAACAAGGGAACGTATCAACCAATCAGCGAGTAGTTTGATCATCAACTAAATTGTTTCATGTTACATATTTAGAGACCAATGGATTCATTGGAGAAATAAACCATCTTCAAATAGTAATTTACTATTTTCCTGTTTAAAATTTTCCTTTTCACCTATGACTACTTAAACTACTTATAATTCACCAAAAACCTATTTAGACATATACATATCATGTTGATTTATTCGGAATTACTACCTAATTATATGTTGAAAGATAATCCATCAAAATATGATTATTTGAATAATGCAAAAGAAAAACGATTACCTAGGTTTGCTTTATCAGAAAAGTAAGTGAACTAAACTTGAACATTTGTTTGTTTCTATTAATCTTATGGTCAACTGTTGATTTATAATTATGCACAAAATATTTACTTCACTGAATAGTGTATTATAAAATATACATATGTAAAACAAGATGTGCTCATTATTAATTAAATTAAACGTGTGAAATGAATTTTCAGCATGAATTAACATCATCTGCAGAAATATTGGAAACACGATTACACAGGAATTTGCTTAACATTAGTTTGAAAATCTTCAGCATTCAACAATGCTATGTTCTATAATACAGTTCAATTTTAATACACTCGTTACAAGGCTAACCAACCAACCAGAAAATTTAGGGAGATTGAGAGTATATGTTCTTCCCAACCTTAAAAATGAATGTAACATTTTCGAACTTTCCTGATATACCAAACACTCATGATCTTACGAATACAAAGCTTTTTTATGTTTCATACCCATTACGATATCTTAAGACCATTGAAATGCCAGTCAAATTATGATATTATTTGACCACCATATTTGAAAATATCCATTCATCTTCTAGGTTTATGTGAAATGTTGTTCTCAGCAAGGTTAAATTCTGAAAATTCCGTAATGACCAAACAGATCATAATGGTAAATCATCGCATGTGGATTAGTTCAACAGACAGTAACTCCACAGGTTAATGACACATCGTTAGAATTGACATTCCTTGCTTCCGACCATCTTCTATTTCAATTTGCGCAGGTGTAGGCAAATGTGTCAGATGTCCGAGCTACTTTAATATATATATATATATATATATATATATATATATGCTAGATTAGGCGTAATTCATTACGGTTATAATTTGGGGCAGCAGTAATTTCTAGCAAACTGAACGAAGGATATTAGTTTTAAATGTAATAGCTGTCAAAGAACTGAAAAATGTGATAAAATGAATGATAAATAATAATTTTATATTTTAGAAAGTTACAACAATACTAAATAAATATAGCAAAGTGGTAGACAAGTTTGTGAATCGTGATAAAATAAAGTAACTTGAGCATCTGACACATTTGCCTACACCTGCGTAAACTGAAATAGAAGATGGTTGGAAGGATGGAATGGCATATACATAGTGTTTTCCATAAAAATACATTGATCTACTGTGATGTTAATGAAACTACTGACCGGAAGAAATTATATTAGAAAAGACAATACGCAATGAGTATTATTCATTGTTCGTGTAAATTGAACATATGCTAACATATCAACATATCCTGTGTAATGGCCAGGTTCACGGTTCACTTTGTTTGCTAAATTTTTTGAATTCAGTTAACAGGAAATCATACAATCTAGCTTTTGTATTTATTTTTACCTATCTACAAGGCTAATCTCTTTATTCTATTAACTTTTACGTGTAAACACTTCAGTAAATATACATTCTAAACTGTATTCTATTTTTAATGAAGTCGGATGTTCCATGTACAGTTTGTCCACTTAACTAAAGTTATGTAATGTCACTTACTTACGTAATAAATTTTTATGTACTCTATTTTAAGTTTTCTATATGAGGAACAGTGATACTGTGATGTTGGTTACTTATATTCACACAAGTAGTATATAACGGTGGTCAGGCATAGAATGTATTTCAGTAGATCGATAAGGAAAGGACAGAAACGGAATGCATTTGATATAAAAACGCATGAACAATGAAATCTAGGACAGTGGACTGATATTTGCAAAGAGGAACAGTCAAATTTGAGAAGATGGATTGATATTTTGCAAATTAACGACTTTTATTGAGACACCCTGTAATTTTGTACTCAAATACATTCGATTGTTTCCATTCGTGTTCTGTTCACTACAATATTATCTGACTCATAAAAAAACTTGAATAAATAGTTACATTTCAAATTTAAACTCAATAACTATCAATAGATTGTTTAAATACCTGAAACTAACTTACTTTTGTTTTTGTTTCAATCAAAATTCACTAATATAATGACAAAGTGATAATCGATTCATTTTTATCAAAACAACTGATGAGTTTTTAATAGATACATTAGAAATAAACATTTAAAATTGTTTACTAAATGAAAGTTCTTCTATAAAACAATAAAACATTGAACATTTCTTTAAACTATGCTGAAAAACGTATTGCTTCTTCAATGAATGAAAAAAAACGTTTATTTATTTTGTATCTATTTACTTTTATTGATTTTCCTTTTTTCAAGTTTTCTTTTTGTTCTTCATTGATTTTTTTATTATACGATTATGTTATTATATTAATTTCAATGGTTAAGATCATGAGTCAGTTGAAGCTATACCACCATGGAAAACCTGAAAGCACTGGACGGCCGTTTCGTCCTATTGTGGTCTAACTTCAACTGACTCATGATATTAACCATTGAAATTACTACAATCTACACAAAACCCATCTGTTATTATATTACTAAAATATTGGATGAAATCTCTTTATCTAAATTCCATGGCTATGAACTGTAACTTATTCAGGTTATGTAGAAATTAGGCATCATTCTATAGATTTCTGTTTTCAAAACAATGTTCACACTTATTTTCCAATGATAAATGATGCATTAAATAACAATATATTTTTGATTTATCTAACATTTAACATATAAAAGTTCAAAGGTTAGTGTGAAGGAAAGTTTGATAAGTATATATTCATTAATAACAATGATTAAATATTTAAATTTCTTATAATTCACTCACATATAAAATTATTTAGAACACTATCGGAAGTGATGTCATTGTCATTGTATCATACAAACTCTGGCAGTAATTTTGTTCCCAGATGAGAGAATATTAAATTATATCAGATTCTAAAATTAATTTACATAGATAACCAATTTAACCAGTTTAACTTTTGACAAAAATATTTTGTTGTCATGGAGAAAAATATTAAATTCAGTAAGAAAATAATTTAAAATTGAAAACAGTTAAATATTTTCAGAAGGGGTTTTTTGGAGATTTCAGAAATTTCATAGATTGAAATCATGAGTCAATTGAAGCTAGACCATCACGGAAAACCTGGAAGCACTGGACGGCCGTTTCTCCCTAGTATGGGACTCCTCAGCAGTGCGCATCCACGATCCCGCACCCCGCGAGATTCGCGCCAGGCGCTTAACCAACTAGACCACTGAGCCGGCATCCAACGGTATTAATGTCTAACTTCAACCAATCCACGAAGTTGCGCCACCGTACACCATTGTCTTCAGTGAGTTGATACCTCACAACAGACCTGGTTGAACTCCACTGGAAACGGCTAACTATTTTACAACTACACATATTATTTATCTCCCTCTTAAAAAAATCTAATAACAATTCTACTGAAAGTTTATAAGTAATTCGTTTTAATTGGTGTTTTTTTTCAAAAGAAAATATCATAAAATCATTTATTATGTATTTTTTGAAACATGTTTTTCCTAACTGAATAACGAATCGATGGACACTTTTTGATAACACAGTAACTTTACTTCAAGTAATAATATAATGCATTTGAAAGATAGAGCAGGTAGTAGTAGTAGTAATAGTAGTAGTAGTAGTAGTAGTAGTAGTAATACTAGTAGTAGTAGTAGTAGTAGTAGTAGTAGTAGTAGTAGTAGTAGTAGTAGTAGTAGTAGTAGTAGTAGTAGTAGTAGTAGTAGTAGTAACTAACATCGTATTGTTTGGTCTTGATTCTTGGTTGAATTTCTATCGACCAAGTTTCAGAGTAGTTGTTATGTTGGTTGTGTGTACATTGAGATAAGATTTATTAAATATTTCAAAATTGATTGGTAAGTGATACTCTTCGATAAGGCGAATCGCTATGATGAAAAAGAATTCGATAATCACCGACTATACTCGTATACACTAAGCAGCAAAAGAGTATGAGGTTGGTTGCTAATCAACGAAAATATCACTCTTGCAGGAGGTTACTCAAAACCCAAAGAAATCACTGACAATGTCTCAGACTGTGATACTGGTTGACCCAGGTCAAACGTCTGTTTAACATGCTAACATTTTATAAATGTGTTTTCTGTTAAACGTTCTCCTGAAGTAATACTTGATAACCTCTTCTCTTCTTCCATAATAATGTACTAATTAATAGTATTATCCGTATTCCTGTATAAAATTTCATTTATGTGGACTTAATTTTTTTTATTATGAATTAAGACAGTAATTTTTAGCAGATGCTGTTTTTCTTCATTGAAATAACTTTAAAAAATGTCACTGAAAGAAGTTTTGAGGGTATTTTTATAACGTCAACAATACAACCTTATTCTAGATAAAACCAGATTTGACTTTTTGAAAGAGTAAAAATTGTACTTAAAATTGTATATAATAAAAAGCCTAAATAAAACTATGGAGAAAACCGATTTTCTATGCTGTTATGTCTGAATTTCTAAAATTCTCTTCCTGCAGACTATAAAAACAACCAATCCCTTCATTCGTAAATCGATGATACATCCACGTTGCTGATATATGCTGAGCTGAATTCATCAGTCTATGTCAATGAATTACCTCCTTAAATAGATACACTGATAACGTGATTTTATAAAGAATAATCGTCATTGGAATTAAGAGTGTGACTAAATATTTTAGTGGAAGACGCGTTGGGAACCTTTTACACAATCTATACTGAATGGTATTTGACAAAACATACTAAGTGATAATTAAGCACAGAGTTCGATTTTCAGTGTGAATATCAACACCGTAATTCAAATACATCTAACTAATAAGTTTCAAATAAGATAAAATTCACAATGTAAATTACTTTGCTAGATATAAGCTAACAAAATGTAATAAAACTTGTAATTACTGACATCAAGTCGAGTCAACCACTGGAGCAACTTACATAACAGTTGAGATTGGTCAAATAAAATCTTAAACATTTATCTCTTTATTGTAGACATAAAGTTGATCTAAACTATTGAAGATAATTATGGAATCAAATTTTGAATCAATAAATTTGTCTACACCTAATATAATTCACCATTGAATTTTCATACTTTAAATTGGTTATTAGTTTAGTAA